TTTTTTTTTTTTTTTTTTGGGAAAAATGAGTTTTGAAATAATGATTTTTTTGGAGAATATGATTAAAATGTAAGAAAAAGTTTTCAATTTACATGTAGAATATTTTACGGTAAGAATATGTGATTGATAATGAATTTTAGAGGAGGAGGAAGGGGGGGGGGGGGGGGGGGGAAGTTTTTTCTAAAAAATTGTGGCAATCAAATAAGACAAAACCAGGAAAATAAAATTCATTTTCCAAATTCTAGGGAAAATAACACCAATCAAACAGGGCCTTATATGTAATAATCAGTAATTAAAGAGACATTGTCTCCATTTTATCCATAAAATTCATATGGGAAGTACATATTTGAATGTGTCAAATGAACCGATGGTCACCTAAATTTAGCGGAGATGCATTTAGGCCACTCATCTTTAATTTGACGCAATTAGATCAATCAAGTCGTCCAAATTAGACTAGTAAATCTAGTCATTTTATACATTGATCCGCCAATTAACTAATGTAATATACTAACTTGAAAAATTAAAACTAACGTGACTACCCATATGTCTACGTCACAACAACGCAAGTTATGTATGTTAATATTTAAAAAAGGTATAAACTCAAATAACAATTTTACATGTCAACTATTCATTATATTCAACAATGAGATCAACATGTTTCGTTGGATAAATTGGACAATAGTTCAAAAAGTGACCAGATCTACAAGCAGATAGAAGTCGATTGGCTTAATTGCACCAGATGGAAGATGAATAACCAAATTTGTAAGTAAAATCGAAATTGAATGATATGATTGCACCAAATTGAAGATTAGTGACTTGATTGCACCTTCACTCAAAGTTGGACAACCCATGTTATATTTAACTCTATTTTAGTAGGAGATGTACCCTGCTTGAGCCCCATTTTGATAAGAAAATGTATTTTGGAATGAATTATGCTAAGGGTCCGTTTGATTGCAAGGGTGGAAAATGGGTGGAAAGAAAATGTTTTACAGGGAAAAGATTTTCCTAGAAAATGTTTTTCTGAGAATTGTAATTAATTGTATTTGATTGGTATAATTTTCTACCCGAAAAATGTTGAAAGTTTGGTGTCCGTTTGGTTTCCTTTTTTTATAAAAATTGTCCATTAAAGTGATAATTTTTCTACCAATACGTCTAGAATTTGTTCTAATTACCAAAAAGTAAAAAAAAAAATTTAAACAATTAGAAAAAATTACCATATTCGTTTGACTTTGTTTTACATAGAAATTGTCAAAAAAAATGAAAATTCTTTTTACAATAGTTGATAGAATTGGTTGCCATCGATAAAAAAAAAAAAAAAAAAAGAGGTGTAAAATGTTTTCCCACATAAGAGGTGAGAAAACAAAATCAAGCTTTTGTGCATCAAATGATTGTACCTAGAAAAAGGTGAAAAACGTTTTCCATAAAAAAATTTACCTATCAAACAGCTTTTTAAGGGTGGAAAAGGAAAATATTTTCCTTTTCCATGGAAAACTAAGGCTATCAAATGGAGCATAAGTGTATATTTCTAGATTTACAATTTTTTTTTTGACGCTGTGTGGGAGTTCAAAAAGCGTTGGGCACCAAAATGTGTTTTTTTTAAGTTGTTCATTTTGTGTCGATACGTGACATAATGTCAAAAAAAATGTAAAACAAAATCTACATGTAGCATGATTAATTTTGGAATAGTGATTTTTGGAGATTATGTGATTAAACAAGAAAAATAGTTTTCGATTTACGAATAAAATTATTTTATAGGAGAATGTGTGGTTGAAAATGAGTTTTCGAAAAAATGGGGGCCAAACATAGCTTTATACCTTCATTTTGTTTGTTGAAAGTTATCTGCATCCTCGATCATCTTCTTGACTAACTACAAGATTAATCAAATTTTGATTGCTCACAAAGACCATAGATTGGGGACTGTTCGTGTCATTAATAAATTTACTTATTTACTTATAAGTAACTTAGCCTTCATTTGCATTTACTCTCTCTCTCTCCATCACCTCAAGTCACACTACATCCAAGACACTTCTCCATCATCACGCTCAAACACACTGGAGTTCACAGATTTCTCAGATTCAGTAGCAATTATTTGCTGTACAAAAAGCTTATAGACCAGATCAGCAATGGCGAAAACAAACCCTCGCAAGCCACCAAGTGGACGCACAAATTTAGCCTCGTGCATAGTGGCTATAATCTTCCTAATGTTCATAGCCATTGTTGTTCTTATCGTGTTCTTCTCTCTCTTCAAGCCCAAAGACCCCAAAATCTCCGTAAACGCCGTCCAGCTCCCTTCCTTCTCGATCTCTAACGGGACTGTCACCTTCACATTCTCAGAGTACGTCACCATTAACAACCCTAACCGCGCTGTTTTCACGCACTACGACAGCTCACTGCAGCTTCTATACGCCGGAAGTCAAGTGGGGTTCATGTTCATCCCCGCGGGAAAAATCGCCTCCGGCAAGACGCAGTACATGGCAGCGACATTTTCCGTCAAGTCATTCCCCCTGTCGGCTAACCAGCCGGAGAGCATGAATTCGGGACCCAATGTGACTGATGGGCTGAGTGGATTCCGGGTCGGGCCGGCTATGGAGATTGAGTCCAGATTGGAGATGGAGGGTCGGATTCGGGTCATGCATTTCTTCACGCATCACGTGGAGGTGAAATCTGAGTGTAGAGTGGCCATTGCTGTAAGTGATGGATCTGTTTTAGGGTTCCACTGTTAGTGTTTTTTTTATTGCCGTTTTCCTTTCTTAATTAATCATTTACTTTCGTGTGTGTTCAAGAAAGTGTACAAAAATGAATTCCCAGAAACATTTAATCTTTGTGTTTAATCGTGCTTAAAAGTGACATTTTTTTCCTCTGGCTCATTTTGGATTAGTTGTAGAATAGAAAAAGCTAAAAGTTTGAGCCTTAATGGAAGTTTTGCTGGAAAGAAGCCGGAAATCCTGCGTTAAGAAAATCAAATAGGATCAAGTCATGGTTAATTACAGTCTATTTGTGCCGAATTCCAGGACAATTAGTAGGGCCGGTGGTCCTGTGGTGTTGGACCGGGGTTAGTCTTGTTGTGGTGGAGGACTGATGAGGGCAGAGGTGGTGAGGACTTTGTCTGAGACAGGACAATTCTTTACCTCTACTTTCTTGGGATTGGCGAGAATCTTTTTGACTTCTACTACGTATAAGTAGATAATAGAGTTTTAAAAATAAACTTTTTACTCTCATTTTTATTTACACTTACACTTACAATTAAAAATAATAATTTATTATATCGAACAACCTCATCTATATATTGCATAAGCCCTGTCTGACAACCCTTTTTACGATTTTTTTTCTTAAGTTCATTTTCAACTATACATTCTTACAATAAAAAATTTTATATGCAAATTCAAAAAATTTCTTACTTTTAACTACGATTCTTCAAAAAATTATTATTTCAAAATTCATTTCCTTCAAAAAAATACTTTTTAATAGTTGTCAACATGGGCTAAACTACAATTTTTTTAAAAGTCAGCCTCGGCAGTGACTCACAAAACTGAAGCAAAAAGCTAGAATCAAGCATATTTTGCGAATATATCTTGCATCCAAGAAGAGAGAGAAACCATTTTAAAGGTTAAGGATGTGTTTGATGTAGATTTTTTGAGAATATAATCTGCAAGTAATGATTTTTTTTTTATTATTTTTTAAAAATGTATGGTCAAAAAGTAGAAAAAGTTACGAGTCACAGTGTGAAATTATTTTATTGGGAGGATTTGTTGTCGAAAATGAATTTGCGAAAAAAAATGATATGTACCAAACAGGACTAAATACATATAATTCTTGAAATCATGAAGAAAGAGGAACAAAATAGCTTTCCTAACTAACTTTTTAAATTTACAATAAAATAGAAGTTAAACATAATGACCACAAGTAGAAGGCTAAGAGAACAAACAACAAATCATAATGACACATCGATGGCATCAAGAATACTCACAAGTTTGGTCAAGTAGTCGAGCATAAGTACATATGAAACGGGGGTAAAGATCCCTACGAAGAAATATCAATAAACCAAAAGATACCTCACTTGTAATAATGAACTTTTGACTCAAGATTCAGATCAGGTCGCCACCACTGGTGAATACCGTGAGCATCTTTGAAGTCCTGTGACGGAGTGCGATTAACCGTCAGATTTGCTGAGGGAATAAGGTGCAGTGGCTCGTCCGACTCCTTTTTACCCATTGCATTCAATAAAAGACCCCCAATAGAGTGTTGGGTTGCCAACCTTTCGATACCTCCTATCCCAATTTCCTCCATCTTTTTCCGGTGTTCAAAGTACCCTATGTACTCTGAGCAAATGTGATCAGCCGGGTTGACAAACAGACATGGCAACCAACTCGACAAGGAAACAAATGAATCTGCCGACCGATTGTTCGTGTTCTTATGTTTCATAGCAAAAGCAAGTCCAGCAGTAATCACACTGCCCGCAATTCTAATCCCGTGTTTCACCTTTTTATTTTTGATACCCTCGATTGGGGCCGAAAAGAATGGAGGGTTAAACAAAAATGCTTCAAGAAAGACGCCACTCTTCGCCATATTCTTCCCAGCAAGCATTGCCATGGCCGACCCTAGTGAATGGCCAGCTAACCAAACACCACAATTTCCAAAGGTGGCCACCACATGTCGGACAGCTTGTATGGCTATCTCAAAGCGAGATGTCCCGTGAAGACCATTTTGAATAACGTGAATGTCCATTTCGAGGTCTCGTGAAAATGCACCCCCTTTGGTAATAGTGCCTCGAAAAACGATGACGTACCGAGGGGCTTGTTGTGCTGAAGGGCAATTGCTTGATGCAGTGCAACTGAGTTGATAGATAGCACCAAAGATGGAAGAATCGGCATCATCAATAAGTTGTCTGTATAGCTGAAAATTGAAGAACTTCCACCAAGGAGGGGCAAGGGCTTCAGTTCCTTCACGCTTCTCCTGTCGATCCCGCTCTAAAATGTAAACACTCTGAACTAAACTAGCTGAAACGGACCTTCGGTGACTGGCATTTGTCCTGCCAAAAACAGCGCAAAGGATCAGGTGCATGTTTATCTAAACTTAAAAAAATTAACTTATTATAAGTAAATAAGTTCAAATAAACATGTTATGTTGATGAACGTTGGAAATAAGTAAGTTAATTATTTTGAAAGTAACTCCTACCTTACTATTCAAATAACTTATTTCACTTAGAAGTTAAAAGAAAAAATAACTTATTCAAACATGTCTGGAATAAAAGTTACCGAAAAGTATAAGTAACTATTAAGCTTAACCAAGACTGCAGCAAGTGTTTTACTGTAACTATTTTCATTCTTAACACAGACCTTCCTTAGGGTGAAATTTTGAAAGAGCAAGTCGCAGGCATAGGAGATTATTTGCTTTACAAAAAGTTGATTTATCTCAGACTGAAGAAAAAACGCCGCTTTATGCAAGTTATATCAAGAATTTAATATAAAAGGAGATTACTTTCAGATTGTGTCCTTGACATTGTGATGCAATCATATCACATCCGGGCATGTATCTTTCTACGCTTTCACAGTTTTTGTTTACATATTTATTGTATATTTAAATGATACCATAAGCACTTTAGGGCAATCCTTAAGATAAGTTTTCAATGTGTGCCGTATTTGCAGCATAATAAATCCCCAGATTATTTATCATTACTTGTATGTTTATTCAGTTGAGTATACAGATTCTTAAATGCAAATTGAACATATGATACGGGGAAGACAACTCTACAATCCATATCCTTAACATCTCAGACATTCGCAAACATCATTGAGTGAGTGTCATACCTATCAGATTCTTAAATGCAAATTGAACATATGATACTGGGAAGACAACTCTATAATCCATATGCTCAACATCTCATACATTTGCAAACATCATTGAGTGAGTGTCATACCAGTCAACTGTTGTCAGATGCAAGGGTCCTGAGTGATAGAAATTTTCCCTCTCCAAGCCCATTATTTATTTTTATCTTTGTACTTTTCTCTCCTCAGATCTGCACAAAATTATATGAAAAGATGTCACAAGCATTCCAGTCTAGTATACATTAAAAATCAACATAATTACAAGGTCAAATCAAATCATAACGAAGAGAGGAGGGCAATATCATCGTATTCCTTCAAATTATATACAAAATAACAACTATCAATAAATCAAGTCATGTTTCCAAATAACGTGAAGTTGGCCACATCAAAGTCTTCATTGCAACTCAGTTCGACCGACGCTATATCTACTTAAAAGTCTAATGGGATCTAACATCTTGCAACCAAACCTCTCTCTTCTAAATTGTTCAACTAGTCCGATTGCTCTGTAAATTAGTGTTTTTTAGAGGTACTGCGAAACATATGATAAACCATCTAAGGGACTGTTCTCTTTACCGTTTCAGCCAGTTTTCTGTTTTCAAATTTTCAAAACGGTGAAAACACGTTTACTTACTTATTTTCAAAAATGAATTTTCGAAAATGAGTTTAAATTGACAAAGAAAATTGAAAACGACAAAAATGTCATTTTGGATGTTTTCAAAATTTCACCACCGCCAACAAGGACTGCACCACCGCACCCCAACCTTTCAAGATAAACACCACAACACCGTCGACCCCCCCACCNAACATCATCACACCTCCAATTGCAACTCCATATACAGAAACTGGATATCATAATCAGATTCAGAAATCAAAATTTAAAAAAGGGAAAAGGAAAACCCAATTATACGAAAAAGAAGAATCAATTGAAATGTCAATCAAAACATTACATCTCCAGATTAGATGTAAATTATGTCGACAAAAGAAAATATGCACATAAAATATTGCACGAAATTATATAGAAACTGGATATGGCATTCAGATTCAGCAATCAAATAACAACGAAAATAAATAATCAATTTATAAGAATAAGAGGAATCAAACTAAATGTCAATCACCACATTACAGCTACAGTGTAGACGTAAATTAAGACTGGGGCGACAAAAAAATTATCATCATTTTCCTCGATTTTTACCCAAATTCTGTCGATAAAAGTAAATATACAGTAATCCACAGAGTACTATAAACATATACATATAAATTGGCATAATCCATTGGCATATGAATCCTTGAATATCTAGCTTTGGTAGCGGATTTTTGTAGTTGAAATACTGAGAGGAGAAGGCTTACATGATTTTTTTTAATTTTGAAAACAATTTTTCAAAATGACAAAAAAAAAACACATTTTCAACAATCTCAAAATTGACATTCAAAACACAAAACCCAAAATGAAATCAAAACTCAAAACAGAAACACGAAAAGAACCACCCCTAAGTCGTTCTTCCCTTAATTTATACACGTTGGCGTATATCCTCATTTCTTATTTTATCTTTTGTAGTATGATTATATTCTTCTTAGCCTCCGTTTGGGAAGAAAGTATAAACAATTTAATAGATAGAAGAGTAGTGAATAAGTAGATATAACTAAGGATGTGTGTTCATGTCCAATATGCATCGTGCCATGTTTGTCACCGACACTCCAAAACACATGTCCAACACGCAATGTGGTTTATCATATGAGAAAAGTTCTGCGAACTTCATGTCGAATTTATTTTACATACACAACAGATGTCCAAAACGCAATGTGGTGTATAATGTGAAAAGATCTACGAACTTCATGCCATTTTTTTTACATCTATTATATGCAACTTTAACATAACAATTAGCTTCTCGTCAATTTAAAAGATTTTAGACTGCACTGACAGGCTACAACAATCAAAACTTTAAAAGGATTGATTTTATTATTAGGAAATAAAATTATAAAAATAACAATATCACATATAAATGTAAAGAATAATATATCCTACTTTTTTTGAAAAATCAGCCGTCCACATGTCCGTGCTTCTAAGTATTTTTCAATGTAAAACATAAACCTTTTTTGGGATTTGAAACGAAACATTATCCTAGCAGCATTTTATTTAATGAAATATTTTGCAAATATCCCAAAATGAATGAATTAGGTCATCAGATTACCTAAGTCACTTTCCAGATGTATCACCACCAACTTCACCGACGGCCACCGACACCAAGAAACTATTTTCATCATATCAATTGAACCCCGTAAATGAAAACCCATTTTTCATGTAAATAATTTCTACAGAAAAATGTTATCGTCCAGACACACCGAATATCAAATACAACTACTAAACAACCAACAGCAAAACACAAACACAAAATTCATAATTAATATCTGGTACCAAAAGTATGTGCAATAAAAAACTCAATAATTCAAGAAAAATAAATAAGCATTGCATGCATTACCAAATTAATTTCAAGAAAAAAAATTACCTTAAACAGAATGTTGATTTGCAATTGAATGGAAGATGAGATCTAAAGAGATTGGTGTAATTTATTTTATTTATTTTTTGTGTATGGTTTTCTCTTTTCTCACTCTAGTTATTAGAGAGAGAAGAGACTTTAAGGGAGTTGAAGTGTCCTTGTCAAACTTTGATAAAAAGGTTGTTTTTAAGTAGTTTGTCTCGTGGATTCAAGCTAATGTTGCTTTTGGGGGCCCACCATGCCCCACGTAGATAAAGGTAATTGACATATATAGCACTAAAATAAGTTATTTAACGTAGTTCTCTTTTTAAAACTTCTAAATTGAACACCCTTCTCGTTTATAATAATTGATAAATCAACCAAAACATTATTATCTAACCTAGGGGTGATATTTTTTCCGAAAATCGTTGGAACCGGACCTGAATCGAATAGTTACGATCGGTTCGAATCTAGTTTCTTTATTAAATGGATCGATTTTGGGATCATGTTGCTTTTGGGGGCCCACCATGCCCCACGTAGATAAAGGTAATTGACATATATAGCACTAAAATAAGTTATTTAACGTAGTTCTCTTTTTAAAACTTCTAAATTGAACACCCTTCTCGTTTATAATAATTGATAAATCAACCAAAACATTATTATCTAACCTAGGGGTGATATTTTTTCCGAAAATCGTTGGAACCGGACCTGAATCGAATAGTTACGATCGGTTCGAATCTAGTTTCTTTATTAAATGGATCGATTTTGGGATCATGTTGCTTTTGGGGGCCCACCATG